GGTTTAAATCTGATCCTTGAGTTCCTGTGTCACCCTCCCCCCAGGGCACCAGCTGGCAGTGAGGTGAGATCGTCCTGTAGGGATGGGGACCAGTCTGGTGCCCAGGGGAGGACCCGATCCTGACTCCCCAGTGTCCCGTGTACCAGGGGCTCCAGTGCAACGGGGAGAGGAGGTGACTTCTCAGGGAGTTTGCAGACTAGAAGGGAGGAAGGAGGGGTCAGGCCAAGCGCCACCCCAGTGCATAGATCCCCAAGAACTTCTAAAAGCTGTAAAGGAGAAGGCAAAAAGAGAGGGGAAAGTACGATGGTGGTGGGAGCCTGGGAAGTAAAATCAGAACCCTAAATCGGAGCGCACTGCACCATAACCTAAAGCAGAGCCGAAAGAGGCTGGGAGCCCGGCATGCAGGCCGTGGTTCTGGCAGGAATTACTGGAGCTTTCGTCCCAACGCAGAGAGCAGGGGCAGTGTGAGGTCAGCGCCCAGAGGTCAGGGCTGAGCAGTGCGGTGACCCCGATGGGTGAGACACCGCAGTCAGCTGCAGAGCACCGCAGCCGCCCAGCCACCCAACACTGGCTCCTGGCTCCAGCCTCACATTCACCTCCCGCTCCGGCCGCTGCCCTGATCCGAGGGCTCCCACTGCCCCGCAGCTGGGAGAGGAGCTGCGGCCCTGGGCAGTACAGTGCTCGACCTGGGCTCGGCGCACGGAGGTGGGGTGCCTTTGGGAGCTGGGCCAGTTTCCCCAGGCTGCCCCAGGGCCGACAAGGACTCATCTCGGCAACGGCTGAGGCCTCCGGACAGCTGTGGTCTGCAGCTCCTCTTTGATCTCAAGGCTACGGATGAGAGATGAAGGCCTCGAGTCAGAGAAGCCCCCTCCCCAGGGGAGCCCTGGCCTCCAAGCTGCTTCTGTTCACTCCCTGCCAAGAGTGGTGGGACTCACAGGCGCACAACAGAACCAGGGATGCAAATGGATCAGAGAACCCCCGGCTGCACAACATTGCCTGGGCATCTCAGCGAAACAAGCCTCCGCGCACAGAGCTCGGTTCTTCCGCCCTCCGCGGACTCTGCCGCGACCCACAATGGCCGAGCGACCCCCACAGTCCGCAGGAAAGAGCAACAGCGCCATCTAGTGGTGCGCGGGGCGCCTGCGCCCGGGATCTCCGGTCCTTTTTTCCAGCACCCTGCACTGCAGGGGGGCTATCGCTGCCCCATAAGAAAAATGAAAGTCAAAACTTCGGGCTTAGCCAAAGGGTCCTTAAAGAGGGTCCTAAAGAAACTGCTTCAACGAGATTTCCCGGGCTCCGGGTCGCTGATCAGCGCGGGAGGGGAAGACCGTACCTTAGGCCTACTGAAGCATTGTGGGGACCGATTCCTGGGCCACCCTCCAGCCTCTGCTGATGTGTGATGGGACCTGAGAATCTGCATTTCCGTCAGGTTCCCTGCTGACGCTGAGCCAGGCTCAGACCTCCCGTTCCTTCGGCCCCACTGCTTCCCCTGCACACCCACAGCGTCCTGGGGGCTGTGTGCATCTTGCTGGGCTCTGATGACAGAGTTCCAGGGCCTGAGCTTGTGACTCTTTCACGAAAAGCAGAGGACACCAAGACAACATAAGACAGAGGTGAGCGTCAGGACTCTTCCCCTCAGCCCACATCCAGCAAAAAGCACCCAGCCCCCAGCCAGCAGAGCCCCACGGTCCAGATATCCGACGTCCTCAACCGAGAGGGCATTTTAAACCATCTCGACGTGGTAAGCGTGGATTTCCACCCCTGTGCAAAGGACTTGCTTTGGGGCCATTTTACAGCAGAGGTTTAGGGACTCAGGCGGCAGCCTGTGCACTGATTTTAAGAGGCCTGGGCCCTTTCCACAGCCTGCTGCCTTCAGTCCTCTCCCAGCTTAAATTCACTCAACTTCGTGCCAGCGCAGTAGCAAAGTAGGCTTTTTAATATTCTGTGTCCAGGAAAGGGCCCTGAAAACCAGAGTCTCTAGGACTCACAAACCTATGCATTTGTGAGAGAGGGGCTGATCATGTCATCTGGAAGACTGGGACAGATTTAGTCCCCTGTGACTCTGCAACACAAAATAAATAACAGAGAAACAGAGGACATTGGTTTGGACTGTCACCTTCAGTCAACAACGTGACACAAAACCAACTCAGGCTAACACAGGCATAAGGAAATGTTTAAGTATGGCCGTGGAAAGCGCTCCAAGGACTTCTGGTCTCCCTCAGGCACAGCTGGGTGGGGGACCTGGTGTCACTCCGTTCTGTGACAGTCCTGTAGCTACAAGGTGACAGCAGCCTTCCCCCACTCACTTCCGAGGCCCTGGACCAGTCCCAGCTAACCGGATCCACAGAGCCACTGCCATTCAGGGAAATCCTGGTTCTGACTGCTTAGACCTGGTCTCCTGTCCCCCTAAAGCCACATGGGTTGACAGGGGGGCATTCAAGGCAAAAATGAGAGGCTACTTCTGAAAGAATGAGAAATGGATGCAGGTGGCAATGACCCCCCCTAGGCAGCCTCCCCTCTGCCACACTGCAGAGCGGTCCCTAGCACTTTGTAACTGAGAAACTTGTATTTATGTCAGTAAATAGAGACCTGGAAAGGGACCCAGGGACCCCTACACTGGGGAAAAATTAGTAATACTCAACTACTCAAAGCAGGGAATAATTGCTGAGGATTTATCTCAGCAGCATAAGCGCCTGCCTAACAAGCACAAGGTTGTGAGTTCAATCCCTGGTACAAAAAAAAGCAGGGAATAAGTTGCATGTATGATAAAAACTATTACTATTCTGTATGAAGTTGGGCCTTTTAAGCAACAAGTTAAGACACATAAGCTAAGGGCTAAATGGCTCCATCAGATGTGCCCTGCCAGCCTGCCCCACCCCAGGGCATCCCCTGGTGGGGGGCTCAACAACAGAAATGCCACTGGATTGGGCAAAATCCAAGTCTCTGTAGAGGTTTTTCTGTTTCATCAGGCTTGGAGTTGACACTCCTGTGAACCAACTGTGTCAGTGCTGCAGGGGCTGAGCCCTAACTCAGACCTCCTGGAGCTCGCAATCCAGGTAAACATCAAGTGGCACTTGGCTTACACTTCTTCCTCCCATGTCATAATAGAGCTCAAAGTGGTCAATCCATGGCCGCAGCCACTTCCCCCAGAGTGCTCTATCGCCTCCTGTCTCTATCTATCTCTCTCCGCTGCAGAGGATCATCCTCTCGCCATGGCATCTTCTAGCCTCATCTTCCAAGGCGACTTCCATGCTGCTTCTGTTAAAGCAGGCTCCTCATCAGCACTTTCTGAGGCTGCGCATGAACGCGCCCACGAGATAAAAGACCCAGCCCCATCGCCCTACTGCTTCTCCTAGGGGCTGCTACTCACACGGCAGGAAAGCTGCCAAGGACAGCGGCCCAGGAGTCTGCACCAGGTCTCAGCACAGCCCGAGGCCCGGGGAAGGCACCGATGTGCACGGAAGAGCTGGCCGCGTGAGCTGGACCATGAGCCACGAGCACTCTGGCCTCAAGGTGTGACCCCCAGGGGCGCGAGGCGCCCTGTGCCAGAGGGACCTTGGTGCATTTGTTACCACCGCAGCCTGGTGTGATGACGGCCCATGGCCACTAGAGCTGCTCTGTCTTCCCGCTGTGCCCAGAGGACAGGCCTGCCCCCTTCTCCCCACTCCCTGGGGAAGGGCGAGGCACCCACCCTCCTCGCTCCTTCCCTTCTCTCTTCTCACGCCCCCGGGACTTGTGCTCCTCCTCCTGAGCCACAGCCACTGTGAACGCCGCGTCCCCGCATCACTCCGCACACGCTCTGTGCATCCCAGGGAATCCTGAGAGCGAAACGCGGTCCCCATTGAACCAACGGAGCAAAACGGGTCCGCAGGTACTTGGGGTGCGGCTGCTGAGGAGAAAAGGCCAAGTGACCCATCAAAATAACCAATCGGGCTCTGGTGGCCAGACCCACGGCACAAAACAGGAGCAGGTCCGAGCACACAGGTCGGGGAGACGAAGCTGAGTCCAGGGGTCCCTCCTCTGAGAGTGCAAGGAGGTGTCGCCACGCCGAGAGGGAGGAAGGGGGCTGCACGGAGGAGCAAAGCGGGACCCCCCACCCGTCTCCAACCTCATGTATCCTCAACTGAGGGCTCACACATTTACGAACACAGCTCGTATTAAAGCTACTCAGTTCCGTGTGCATCCGGGCGAGCTGGCAGGCACGCAAACCCGGCGCCCCAGGGCCCCCACCCGGGGCTGGTAGGCGAGCGCTGCTGGGCTTCGGGTGTGCGCGGCTGCCCCCGCGCGGCCGCCGAGGGTATTGCTCTAGGAAACCAGCCCCGAGAGCCAGCGCATGCGCAGTCTCGTTGGCCAAATTCTAGGCGGGGGGACGTTTTCAGCCACCAGCCGGAAAGCGAGGCCAGGCGCGCGTTACACTCGATTCGGTTCGTGGGAAATTGGGATCTACTGCTGCCATTCGGGTTTGAGTCTTCTCCAGGGCGCCTCCCTGGCGTGCTGTGAGTTTTTAATAAGACAGATAGTGATTTCCCTTCTAAAGGAAGAAGAGTTTTGCTACCTGACCGGACTCGGGCAGGTCCGGTAGGACGCATGCGCACCTGGCCCTGGGCGCTGGACCCGAGCTGGACCCGAGCTGGACCCGAGCTGGACCCGAGCTGCACTCGGCGCGGAGTCGGGAGCCAGCACCCAGCAGGTGCTCGGTAAACAGCAGCTTGGAGGTCTTTATTGATGTCTGCAGGCTCGAGCCCACTCGCCCTGCTCAAGAGCCTCAACCAAGCTTGGACAGAATGCCAGACACCTGGAGTGGAAATGGGAGGAGCCCCCAGCGTGGCCAGGTCTCCGACTCTGCTTGCGGCTGCCCAGCATGGTAGGCGTCTAGGAAAGCACACTTGCTGGGGGTCTGTGAGTGGTCCTGGAGACGTGACCTGGGATCCCGCTGGCCCCTTCTTCGCTGGCACAGCTCGCCTGTTCTGATGCCGCTATGCCAACAGCTTTGCTTGCAGACTCTCCCTCCACGACACCCCTGCCTTGGGGCCAGCCAACTCGGCCTGGACCTATGAGCCCAATTAAGCCTCTCCTCCTGTGAGTTGGAAGTAGCAGATAGTTTGTTCTGATAGATACAGGAGATGCATGTGATTGACAGTTCTGCAGGTTCCAGGGCGTGATGGTAACAGTGGTCCAGCTCTGGTGAGGGCCGCGTGGTCTGCAGCCTGTCCAGCAGGAGGATGTGGGAGGAAGCACGCAGCGTTTCCTCTGCTCTCTGTCCCTCTTAAAAGGCAACCAGGACTCAACCGTGGGGGCTCTTCCCTGATGGCCTATCACACCCTCAAAGCCTCACATCTGAATGCCACAGATGGGTTATGTTTCCGCCCTTGTAATATAGCTTGCTACGAGGATTTCATTGAAATTCATGAACCTTGGAGGCCATACTCACACTGTATCCAAACCGAACTACCTCCTCTCTTCATTTTCCCTAAGAACCCTCAAGTATGTGGAAAATAAAGGTATTTCAGGCTCTGCAGTGGCCAGAACCTGGGCTCTTTCCATTGCTAGGACACAAGTCTATATTACCCTCCCGCCCCTAAGGAATAACATTCCTATCAGTTGGGTTTCAAGCTTTGCATCAGGCCAGGAGGCTTGCTGAAGGACTTGGTGTGAAGAGTAGGATTTCCTCGCTCTGCTTCCCAGTCGCTGTGACCTGAGAAGTTTTGCTCTGTGATTCCTTTCCATCAGGATACTTCTGCCCTGCAACAGAACCACAGGCTGCCTCCCCTGATCTTTGACAAAACTAAAACCCTCTTCCTTTAAATCGTAGACATTGGGTGTTGGGTCTTGGCAACAGGAAGGATGAATAATACACAACACTGCTGTTATCAACCAGGCGGTGCTGTTGCTATGACTGCCTGACCATGTGCTCACGGAGCCTTTGAAACTGGCTTGCTGGAGGAATTTGGGGAGGTTCAGAGACAGCAACTAGAGAGGTCACGGAAGGCTGGTGAGTGAATTCTTTTAGAGCTCAGAAGACCAAACGGCTGGTAGTAATGTAGCCAATAAAAGCTGGGCTCAAGAGGTTTCAGGTGGAAACCAAAAATCCACTAGCATTTGTACTACAGGCCATGTCTGCTAAGAAATTTTGCCTACATTTTTGCTCTTGTCCTGGGACTGTGGAGGACTGAGATTAAGGAAAGTAAATTAATTAATCTGGCCAAGGAAATTTCAAAACAGCCCAACATTCAGACTGTAGCATGGGTAATCCTGGTGCTTTTTACTTAGGTTCTTTTAACCTAGATACATAACTTTCCCTTTTTACCTAGATATAAAGGCAGATCAAACAATGTTTTAAAACTTTAAGTATGGCCCAGAAGAAACCATGTGTAAAGTTGGGATCAAATAAAAAGGGATTAGTGTCATTAGAAAGAAACCAAGTACTTTGTATAGGGACAAAAAGAAAGAGGCCTGAGGTCATCTTAGGAATCAGTAAAACCTCGCCACTGCAGACACAAGATAGCGAAGGTATCAACCTTTATTTTTTTTTAGTAAGAGATTCCCAGGGATCCCTGCTTAAGAAGGGCTTCCTAGTAATTGGATCTTCAGGACCCATTCCACCAGGATCAGTTATCCAGGCACATAGAGGTCACTAAAACCATGGTCCCATGCGTCCTGACTCCTGCCTGTGCTGGCAGCAGCCTTGGTGTCATTCATGTGATTATGGTTTTACCAGCATGCAGAATGCAAGAATGGTGGGAGTCAAGGAAGCTTCTACCAGATTTCAGAAGACGAGGTGAGAGGCCAGGCAATGAGCCCCTGAGAAAGCAGTGCCCAAAACTGTGGGAATGGATTTAAAGGTGCCGTGGAGACCCCAGGAAGATGGAGATGCAAGAAAGGGGGTACATCAGCCAGGGAAAGCTGCAGGCCATGTGTGTAGCCAGCCCAAGAGGGAAGCCATGGTGGGGAGCCTTCAGTCAGAAAGCCAGCAAGGCCACAGGAGCAGGGCTTCCCAAGCTCTTTGGAATGTGCAACTTTCCACCATGTGCCCCCAGATATCGGATACGCAGTCACAGGACATAGTCTTTGCACTGCTGGGTTTGGTCTTGCTTTGATCTGATTCTTTTCTATTTCCTTCATCTTTCCCTTTGAATGTGTGTGTTTATGTTGTATCATTGTACTTTGAGATTATAGAATCTTCTTGACTTTTACAGAGATTCAAAGCCAAAAGTTTGCCTTGAGTCTCAGATGAGACTTGAATGCTGTGACTTTGGAGAGGGACTGTGGCTTTCTGAAAATATATCTGGAATACTTTTACTATGCCAGGCAGAACTATGAACTTGCTATTTGCTTTATTTTGAGATTGAGTATGATTTAAGCAGACGCATTGGAGTGTGAAATTGAAAAGTGGTGGATGGTGGCCTGCATTTCCTGGCATGTCAATTCCAATGGGCTAAGAAACACCTGGCACAGTGAGCACACTCCTGGGTGTGTCTGGGTGGGCTGTGGAGTGTGGCCTTGTGCAGTCTCTATGGTCCCTAGCACTGTCCCCATGTTCTGCTTTCCAGATGCCAGGAAATGGACTGTTTTGCTCTTTTGTAAACTTCTGCCACATTTTTGCTTTAGAGCAAACTTACCATGAACTGAATCCCCTGAGCCATGAGTCAAACTAAAATTCTCTTCAGTTTGTGAGTGTCCAGTTTTATGTCCCAGCAATAGAAGGGCTGATTAATACACCCACTCCTGAAAGGAAATCTCTGAGACCAGAGCATGACAGTGGATGCCCATGACCCTTGCCAGGCCTCAGATTCTGAGTACCAACTTCCGCCAACCACAGATTCTCCACAGATGTCTGCCCCTCTCAGCCCCTTAATGAGTGCGGGGTGAAACAGCCTGAGGACAGTGTGCCTCCCACAGGGCACGCCCCTCTGGACACTGCCTGCAGAGGACACAGAACCAAGGGGAGTCTTTTCCTGAGCAGTGACTTCTCCATGGAACTTTTTACATTAATTTTGGAGTCAGATAATCTTCTCCTCAATAACACCTTAGATAGGAAACAGCATACACTTAGAAAAATATAAACATTACCACTGCAATGCTCCAAGCTCAAGCAGCCAAAGAGAAAGCAGGCTGAATTTGTCAACATTTTTTAAATGTTTGCACTGCAAGTAACACCAAAGAGTGGAAAGACAGCCCACAGAACCAGCAGAAATATTTGCAAATTGCATATCTTCAAAGAGAACTTAGAATATATATGTTACAACTCAATAATAAAAGATAATTCATCTATGGAATAGATAAAGGACCTAAATAAGTATTTCTGTAAACATTAAAATCACTGAATTTGAATGAATTGACTTTATAGCTTGTAAATCACATCTTAACAAAACTGTTAAAAGTAATAGTCAAGGATATAGATAAACTGAACAATAAACAAAAGTGGTTTCATAAACCAATAATACACCACACACAAATACAAGGACGGTGGACAGTCCCTGTCCCTGCTGCACAGGAGGGACCGTGCACTCAGGGTCAGTGTTGACAGGGATGTACCTTAGCTGGGAAGGGGACTGCTTTGAGTTCCCAGAACTCCCTTCTTGGCTGGTTTATATGTCCTTAAATGAAGCCATCAACACATCAGATTTTCGTCCCTGAGATAATTCCTTTATTGAAAAAAACTCAATCAGATTCCTGAGACATTTCTATCAGATCACTTTCACACAGACACCCACCATTCACTGCAAACAGCACAATGTTCACAGCATAAGCGTCATGTCTGGAAGGGGGCGTCTGGCATCACGCACAGCACTTGTGGCTGTAGCCTTAAGTCCACTGCTATGCTCTGACCTTTCTTCACAGAGAAGCAGAGCAGGTTGCAGGATGCCCCTGTATGGAATTCTAAACCCTACTTCTATTCAGTTGGGCACTTCCCTCTTTGTAGCAGACCAAGAGAGTAAAACCCCCATGGACACTCCAGAGAATTCCTTCCCGGAAGAAGAGTTTCTCTAGACCCTAAATCATGGCCCACTTCTCACCAGTGCCAGGATCAGAGCGGATCCCTGAGAAAGCATGCAGAATCATGTATGACAGGATGGATGGATGGATGGATGGATGGTAAGACAGAAGGAGGAGGGAAGAAGGACAGAAGAGAGGGAGAGAGAGAAGGGAGTAGACAAGTGGATGGAAACCAGACATGTGGGAAGATAAATGGAAAGAAGGGAAGGAGGACAACAGATGGAGGATGGATGGATGGATAGATGGACAATGGATGATGGGTGGAAAGATGAATGGAAACATAAATGAATGAGAGTAAGAACAGTTAGGTGATAAATAGTAGAAATAAGTAGAGGACGGAAGGGAGCCAGATGGATAGACAGATGTGTGAGTAGATGAACAGGCAGCTGGATGCTTGGATAAATTTGTAAGTAACAGAGCTCCCACCGTGAGTCTTCTTGACCATTCAGGGAACTGCAGGTCCATCCTAGAACTTGACACTGCTTCTGGTCTCCTTGCCACTTCAAAGCTTGGAGTTTCAGGAGAGCATCAATGCATCCTTAAAGAGATTCAGCCCAGCTGTACTGAGCTGTACCCGGTAGCTATGCTACTCTGTGACACACTAACATTGGGGACACATGAAAATCAGGCAGACCCGAGGCTGACCCCAATGGGGGCTCATGAACCTACAATGGTGGGCGATTGTGGTTCTTCCATGAAGGAACAGGAGTTCAGGAGGGATATCTGAGCTGGGACCAGATTCACACATAGGAACTAGCTTCCCCGGGGGCAGGGGAGAGTGAATATATGCCTGAGGCAGTAAGTAGCACAGTGACACAGTAAGTGGTGATATATACAGGCCCTGAGATGCTCAAGCCCAAGCAACCAGGACACAGAGGGCAAGGAGCAGCACCAGCAGAACCCACGGAGACACCCCTGGGTTTTCGAAGGCTACCATATAAGCCACAGAGGGCTTTAGCATATCCTCAGTGATATGATCAGATCTGCATTCATCAAGAAGTAGAGGCTGAAATTTGGGGTGTCAGCCTTAGGAGGGCTGAGAAGCTTTCTTTCTCCAGGGGAAAATCCCAGTGCACATCTGCTCTGGACCTAACACCAAGAAAGCTGTACCCAGTCCCCAGGGAGCAGCTCCAAACCCCATGATAAGCCTGGCTTGTGGGCAACTGTGTGCATCAGGCATGGGGAGATATTCTGGCTGGACTATGCACCCGAGACATGGCCAGGCAGAGGTCCTCTGCACAAACACTGAGACATGTGAGAAGGGAGAAGTCAAGGTCACACTGGGTCAGGCTGTGACCTTTAGTTACTCTTACTGCCACAAGCCTTTCCGTAGTGCAGAAGGACCCTTAGTCCAAATTCCCAACCTCTGGTTCCCATGAAGATCAGGTGAGAGCAGAAATCCACTTGGAACTTACCCTGAGTCCTGTTCACGGGCTCCATCGGAGCCCAAGGCTTATGGTGGACACCATTCCAGCCCCAGCCCTACCCTCGGGGAGCTCTGAAGTGGGCAGAGTACCCCCAGAAGAAGAACTTGTCTCCCTGGAATTTCTGGTGTTCATGGTCTCATGGTCACGTCAGGGCTGCAGATGAACAGGATTTCTACAGCATGAATCAGGATGGGGAGGCCCCTCTGTGAGGTCACGTGTACTAAGGAAGGAAATTATTCAGGGAAACTGCCACATGGTCCCACTGCAGCTTTGCAGATTTATCCTGAGGAGGAGAAATCATATTAGGCTTGAGGAATAAGCTTCTGGAACCTTTGAGAACTGGGGAACTCGGAGGAAACCTCACTGTCCCTGTGGGGAGCTCCCTGCTTGACTTTCTCAGCTGGCCTAGTCCTGGGGCTCATACCCAGGAAAGTCGGAAATCAGCAGGGTCTGAGGCCTTCGTCTCCTCAAATATCCCAAGCTCAGTGCCACAGAGGCCTCGGGGAGTCAGGAGCTGAGAGCTAGGAGCACAGGCCCCTATGATTGGTCCATCAGCACAGTGCCCACCGTCCTCCTCCTGGCTCCCTTCCTTCCAGATGGCTCAGGTCAGCGGGGTCTCACAGGCAGCCCAGGTCCCTCTTCCTTCTCTCCATGATCTTGATCACTCTTTCCATTTCTTACTTCTCCTCCAACGCTCTGCTCCTGAAATCAGGGAAGAATCCAAGGAGTTCCAATTAAATATAATAATGAGGTCACCATGGACGATCCAGGCTGGTCTTCACACTTTGTACTGAGACCAAAGGTGACATGGCCAGTTAACCACCCCTGCCGGCTGCAGGGAAACTGTGTCTTGTACCTGAGTGCATAACAGAGTCACAGGACAGCCCAATGCAGGGAGAGCTGAGAAAGGCAGGTGAAGGGAACCATCTGGACTGTCCTCCCTCTCCTGGATTCTACTGACCATGAAATGAAAATATTCCGCCCACACGCTGCGTCTCTACTGAACAAGTGCAGGCTCTACTCCTTGTGGTCATTCCCTAAACAGGACAATAACAACTTCTGTGCATAGCATTTGCAGTGTATTAGACCTTATATGTGCCCTGGACGTGATTAAAATACGCAGAATGATGTCCTCGGGTGATAGGCAGATACGATGCCATCTGATATAAAGGATTTAAACATCCAAGGATTGTGACCCACGGGGTCCCTGGAGTCAGGTCCCTGTGGACAGTTAGGGATAGTGAGACTCTATGCTTGAGTGTGCAGACCTCCCCAGACACACACCGACGGGCAGTGCAATCACCTGGTTACTTGTCGCTTCTTCAAAGAACCTTCAGGGTTTAAAGGTGACAGATCTGTTCAGTGACCCAGTGAGGGTAGCCCGTCTCTATGTTGCAAACCAAAGAGAATGAAACTAACTGATCCCTCCTGTCAGATGGGCAGAACTAATGTCAAATGTGACACAGTCTTCTAAAACGATGCATTCCTTATTTGTATATTTCATGATTTCAATATTAAATCTCTATCCTAGAACTATCTATTTACCAAATGAACAGTATTCCTCTGGGCCACCCTCATTTACGAATCTCACTCTTGCTTAGGGAAGGTGGCACACCTTGGGAAATTACAGACCTAAGCAGCTCATGAGGGGGAGTGAAGGTGTGACATTCCACAATGTATAATTGGAATGTTTTAGAGTTTAAAGTAATTATTTATTCTTTAGGGACTTGAGAGCAAAGACTTCTCTGTACAGAGAATAGAGGTTACCACAGTCGGGCTGTGCAGGCAAAGTCTGGCTTGGCTTTAGGAAACCTAAAGTCTTATAAAATGCTAAACACACAAGCCACTAAAAAATATCCAGTAACTTATCTTTCCCCCCAGAACGTCACTCTGCAATCACTCTGCTAAATCTTAAGGGCAAATTCCACTTCCTAGCAATCTGGGCTAGAGAGGCAGGGAGGGATTTTTTCTTGTTTGTGTTCTGCCTGAAAGATGCCAGTCCATAGAAGGATTTGAAATTCAAAGTTTTCAGTATTTCCCTAATGATGCAAGACTACAGGCAATTACCATGTGTGCTCTATGTCTTGTTGGCTTCATTAGTTTTTCTGGCTTAAAGAGGGAACCGCGGACAGTCTAATGACAAAGCTGCTCCTTGTCTCACCCGCTTGCCCCATGGCATGGGGATTCTAAGTATAAATCCTGCCCGCTGCCTGGGAGAAGCCCACAGGAGTGCTGGCTGGGGAGCTGCCTTGCAGGGTCACATCCTGGCTTCAGGAACAAGGAGGTGACAACTAAGGACACGGGAAGGTCATCTTCACCCTGCCTCAGGGCCTTCTCCACCCGTGAGCTGTGTGGGTCTGGAATTTCCCACATGTGCTGTCCTTCGGAAGCAAGAGGAGGGGGCGTGTAAAAGGGTAGTCCCAAGGGCTGGGACACTTGAAGGATCAGTAACACATTGGGGACCCTTCTGAGCTGACTGGAAATTGAAAAGTGACCCCAACTCCATTCCATCTTCTTGACCTTCACTTGAACCCTCACTGTATTGTTCTCCAGCAGACAGGAAGAGATGCCAGAGACACAAATGGCAGTCCCACTCAGGCATCTGCAAGATAGAATTTGATCTGTTTTTCCACCAATCCCACCATTGAACGGAATTGGATTCCCAGTTCTCTTCTCAGGCCCTGCTCTGCTCATTGCTATGGACTATCACAAGAGAGTCCATGTCCCCATACGTGACAGTGAACTTTGTGTCGCCTTGATGGGCTTGCAAGCCAGCCAGGGTACTGGTAGACCACACAATGGGAGTGTTTGGTTGGGTCCTGGAGGCATGACCTGGGATCCTCTACCTGGTCCATCAAGCCTTCCTCTCTAGCACTGCTTCCTGGCCACCAAGAAGTAAGCAGATGATTTTCCTGCTTTAGAACCTGCTGATCATGGACTGAATTCCCTGAAACCATGCGCTACATTAAACCTCTCCCAGCTGACTAATACACTGTGTGAATTTGAGAACCAGAAAAGATGCTTCTTGTCTTACTGTGCACTCCCCTAACCCACTCACCAAAACCTGTGGACCTGGGGTGGGGGGGGGAGTGCGATTCAGATTCCTAGGGGGATAAATAGTTTTGCATCTGAGCTGAAAACACATATCTAACACATTTTTAAATTAAAGAATAAATGTAGTATTTCACTGTCACCCATACGGGAGAAATTTTAAGTTTATCTACAGAGCTAAGTCGAACATATTTGGTTTAGTAAAATCTAATTCTAAGCATTTTAAAAATACCAAAACATTTTAGTTCTCTCTGCTATGCAGAGTTTCTATGTAATAAAGTAGTACTTGACACCATACTTATTAGCTTATAAATTATTGGTCCATCTTATTCACTACAATACCCCTAACACCTAGGAAAGTGCCTGGTATATTTCAATACTCTATTAACAGTTATCAAGTGAGATTAATGAAAGAATATGGGAATCAATCAGTGGGGCTTGAAGTAGATAATCCGTTATCAATTTTCCACCTTTTATGATATTTTTACATGTTATGAGCTAGAGAATGTTAACAGGTATCAAAGGTGTCCTTGTATTTTTCCTAAGTTTCAATTAAACTCTTAAATGATTGTATTAATTCCCAAGCATAAGTACTGCAGAATCCAGTCAAGGGTTGTGGTACAGACAATGGACACTAGAGGGAGCTACACAACTTGTCAAAGAGGTGTTAGGCAAAAACCTGCAATTTTGCTCTGAGCTCTTCCCAGCACCGCGCACCACCGTGAAACTATTACTGCTGCACTATGTAATGCATGACTACTGACCGGAACAAGCTGAAAAAAGGTTTAGAACCTCAGTTTGCTAGGCATCTAACTTTTTGAAAAGTGATCCCACTTCCTCATCTCATATTGCTCACATCTCTTTCTCACACGAGCCCTCCAGTTTAAAAAATTAAGCATAAATGGAAGAAAAATATTTCCCCATGGAGGACAACTAAATTCACCTGGAGAAACAGAAAAGCAAACTGATTCTAAATTTTAAAACACTGCACAAGGGGCTGGGGATTTAGCTGAGTGGCATAAGCGCCTGCCTCGCAAGCAGGCAGTCGTGAGTTCGATCCCCGGTACCGATAACTCCAGCAACTTGTTTGCAAAAGAACATTTCACCATTGACAATGTTTGATTTCACTCCCACTAGTAAAGAAATGTAAGGTATGTTCAGGCTGAAAGGGAAATCACATCCGATGGGATTATGACCCCACTGGTCACTTTCAAAGGCTTCATATGTAACTGAGTGTAAGAAAAAAGAAATTTCCCACAAACTCTTTCTCTCAAAAGTCCTGAGAAATCTGTAAATATTTTCAGAGCCATTATAAGCCACAGATGTTATCAACAGTCAGAACTGTGCAGGCTTAAAAAGACCTATTCCACACAGGAGGCTGCTTCAAAAATAGGTTTTTTAAACATTTGCATGGAAACCAAGTAAATTTCCCCTTGAAACACTGTAAAATGTTCATGCCTTATTTAGAGTCAGAAGCAATCGGTTCCACTAGGCTTTTTGCTTAACGCTCTGTTTCTACAGTACATGCAAATGTACGGAGCCTCCAAAATAAGCCAGAAATAAAAGGACAAGAGATAGAGCTGAAAAAAACAAGTCCAGAAAGGAGCTCTAAGCAATAGCAATTAAAGGCCAACATTAAGTAGCTCGAGATGTCCAGGGAATCGAAGAATCCAGAATGTGTGTTATGGGGAGGCCTGTGGGAACTTCTCCCCTGCTAACACTCGCTGATTTGCATGAAAGGAAAGACAGATCAGGAACTGAGAAAATGCAGAGAGCATCTGTGACTGCGTCTGCGGCCCCCACTCACCAACCTGGAAAAGCCTGAATGTCAGCCCTGACTGACAAGGGGAGGCTGGCTGGCTGCAAACCCTCCTGAGTGAATTCAAACCCTGACTGCAGGCCCCGGGGGAGGCAGAAGGTGTGGGTGAAGCTGGGAACTGGCCCGGTGTATGGTGCAAACACGAGTGAAAAAGACCCTGACTGAGAGTATTTTTTTTTAGTTCTAAGGTTTTATCACTCTAATTATAGCCTAATTATTATGATGTCCCTTCAAGGGACTCAGGCTTGCCTGTGGAACTTTCTCTGTGGAAGTCCTCTCATTTGCTTGAAAGTGAGAATTAGTGAATCTCAGAGTGACAGCTCTGGCATCCAGTTCCTGGCTCAGCTTCCTCTGACCAGATCATACTCGTGCCCAGCCCTTGAGCGAACCCCCAGTGGATTTCTCCGGGAGGAAGCCATCTCCCCAATTAGGCAAAAGCATCCACTTCCCTGATTCCCCCTCCGGCCACTGTGGTTTCCATATTTCAATATGCAGTCAGTTTGCTTTTTCTTTTCCCAGCCAAGAAACTTCGGTGTCCAAACTTCAGTGTCCAAACTGCGGTGTCCACAACAAAGGCTACCGTCTCATTTGTGAAGTTCAGCAGTACACTCGCGCCATTGGCCAGCTCCGTGCCCAGTGAGGCAGACTGGCTTGCTTTTGTTTCTAATTCAGTGCCACAGGGCAAGTCACTTAACCGCCTCATTAGGATCACAGTCACAGCCCTACCTGGCCTCCTTCCCCAGTGCCTGGTCACCCCATTAATATCTGTAAAGATCCAGCAAGCCTTCTAGCTGAAAAGTTCCACAAAAGCAAAACCTATCACTATTATCATCAATAAACTCCAAGACACTCTTGCCTGTCACCACCTAAAGTAAATCAGTCACCCACCTTGGTCCATCACGCCTCTAATGAGCCACCTACAGCCACAGAAATGTCCAAGATCCACACTGACAGGAACTCGCATTCCAGGAAAGAAAAAGTATCATAGCTTTAATTTGGGGCAGTCAGGTTAAACTCTCAGAATATCCACAAGGGCGGCCTAAAAGCATCACAGCTCCTACCCTGTCCCTGGAGCCCAGGAACCCAGGGTGGCCTGCTGTGTGGCTCTTCCCCACTTGGAAGGCGGGAAATAGCACTGTCCAAAAGCAACTTGGAAATAGACAAGTAGGTTGGTTTTCCTCTCTGGCTATTTAAAGAAAATCTCAAGTCCTGCTCCCTTTGGGACCCACTAATGTCCTTCTCGCTTATAAACCCCCTCATTCAAAATCTTACTGACAAGGTCACCAGGATCTTTCTGAAAGAATCCAGAATGGAAGGTGGTGTGCCTAGCCATCAGCGGAGAAATACATGACAACACAGCTTAGGTACCCTACTAAACTGCCACTTAGAAGGAGAAAATGCACAAAAGAACGTTGTGTGGTGCTGCTTCTTACAGGGGGGTGTTTTCCTCTGAAGGACACATCATGAGACCCTCGCTTATCACAGCAAACCTTGGGTGTCTTGAATTTTCAATCAAGGACATACATTACCTGTGCAAAACACAGCTTACAACTAACTGGTCTCCAGCCAAACACAGGAAACTGAGCTTAAACATTTGAAGAATCTATTCTAATCGTAAAGGGGAACCCTTTCGTCTTGGAGAGGTTCTCATTGCTAAATAAGTGGAGATCTTTTCTGAACAAGACAGGTGAGCTTCATTCATAAAGGTAAGGAAAGAAAAATGCTACCAGCCAGGTCTCATCTCCTCCTTTGTTCTCAGCCTATCTTAAGAGGCCAAGCATCCTGGGTCCAATTCATTGCACAATACTGACATTTGAATAAGGAGACCAAAGGGCACTGCTTTCGGGCCCACTCACCATCCGGAATTCCTGCCTGCTGCAGCTGAACCTGGAGCCAGATGTTGACGCGCTGATCCCAGGCCCCCGGGGGCTCCACTTCCCACAGGCGTCCCCGCTCCTCTGGACAGGCCAACAGGAATTGCCTGCAGACTGAGGGGAGCACACAGGCGTGAGTCAGGAAGACCCCTGCCTAGCTCTCTCCGTGGCTCAGATGCGGCCCTCGTCCAGGTCCCCCTGCAGCAACCTCCAACCTCCCCACGCCCACTACTGTGCTCATCTCTGCCGCACTGGGCACTTTTTCCTCAGCCTCCCCTGCATGCAGCAGACTTATCTGTTCAGCTGTGCTCCTGACTCCATCCATCCTGTGCCCGATTTTAGGGTTACATAATGAGACACAATCACCCTTCGATATCCAACAGGGATGGTCCCAGAACCCCCCTGATGGCACTCACATCTGAGCACGCCACACTCAGATATAATGGCACAGTGTTTGCATAACTGGGGACATCCTCCAATACATTTAAATCAATGCTGGATGAATTCTAGCCCTTGATTCAATGTAAATGCTGTAAAAATAGTTGTGATACTTCACCATTAAGAGACTAATGGCAAGGGAAAAGATACATATATGTTCAATAAAGACACCTCTTAAAATGTTTTCCATCCATGCTTGGTTGAATCCATGAATTTGGAGCCCACAGATACGGAGAGTCGAGTGTACCACAGACCAGGTGGGTTAAACCACAAAAATTTACTTCTCACAGTTGAAAAGCTGGAGGACCAAGATGTAGCTGTCACGGGTTTGGTTTCTCCTGAGACCTCTCCCCTTGGCTTGCAGGCCAACATCTCCCTGTGTCTCTTCTTTCTCCCTTCTCTCCTCTTCTCTCCCCCCTCCCTCTCCCTTTCCCCTCCCCTCCCCCAGTGCCCACCCTTAGGCACACGGGGAGCTGATCTGACCATGCAGGTGTCTGTGGGGACCTCATCAAGCCCTCTCCTATTTTTTGTACGCTGCAGGAAGAGCACACAGGCAGAAACCTACGGAAGGCAATGCTGTTTGAAAAGGAGCCAAGTACTAGCAAAGCATATCTAAAACGTTCTGCCCTCCTAGCTTGGCAACTATAACTTGTTAACAGCAGAGAAAGCCAGGTTCTGACTTAGAATTAGAATTCTTGGGCTCCTGCAGTTCTGCATCAGCATATGACCTCACCAAGAGAGCTGGCCCCAAGTAGTAGCCCACCCCTTTCTCCCTGCCCTGCTGCCTCCCCCTGGCTCAAGGGCCCCTTGCACACAAATGTGGACCCTGGCCCACACTCCATCCACTGCCCACCAGCAGCTACCCAGGGCCTCAGGGATGTACAGATGGATGCCATGTCCACTGTCATGAGCACAGATACAGATATGAAGTCCAGGCAGCCCCAGGAAGCCAGTGGTAGGAATCTGGGGTTCTTCCACCTGATTGGTTCAGAAGGAGCAGTGTGGGTCCAGGTGGGCACATCCACTCGGCTGGGAGTCCTTGTCCCCCTTGGAGAGATGCTGTTGGAAAAAGGCTGAAAGCTCAGGGAGCAGCCCCCAAAAAGGGCAAGACTGTACCAAGTGAAAGCCCACCAGCAAGGGGTGAATGGGTGAACCCCAAGAGAAGAACTGTGATTCAGATTCAGGACCTTCAGGTCTTTCTCTGCAGGCAGAGATGAACGCAGGTCAGCTGACCCTGGAGAACAGGGTCTTAGGCTCCCTTTCAAGACAGCTGAGACCCTGAGGCAGCAGAAGTGGGACGCCAACAGAGGTCTCAGAAGTGACCTGAGAAGAGAGACTGGCGGGGTGTGGGTGCCAGAACGCCCCTGCCACTGACAGCAAGCTCACAGCGCACGAAGCCTGGAGCACAAGCTCGCTGCAGAGACCCCAGGCTCTCTTGAGTTTAATAACAGCCCGAGGGCTTGAAAAATACAGAGAAACAACTAAACCCACTTGAGGGAAATTGGTTTTTCACCTGCTTTTCTTTAGGACTTCAAAGCAACAGCAGTTTCCTGGCTGTTCCAAACTTTCCGCTCCTATTCATTGTCCACTTCATACCAGAAGGACTCTGGTATGATTCGAAACATCCTACTAAAGGAAGAGAGTTGGGGCCCACAGTGGGGTGAACATGCTTCATGGGCAGGGGAGAGCCTAGCGGGGTGCTCTCTGGACTCACCCACCCTTATTAACTTGGAGTGTTCCATTTAGCAAATGAACTAAATGTCATAATTGCTCTGGCAAATACATACAAAGAATGTGAAGACCTTAGAAAGGGATCCAGCAGGGGGATCTCGTAGGAGGGAGAGTGAAAACTTCAGAAGGGCTGGATGTCTCCTGCCTTCTCCCCAACTTCTGGAGTCTTCTGTAGCTTCTGTTTCAAAGGACAAAGTGAGGGGCTGGGGATTTAGCTCAGCGGCATAAGCGCCTGCCTTGCAAGCAGCCAGTCGTGAGTTCGATCCCCGGTACCGATAAAAACGAAAAAGACCAAAAAAAAAAAAAAAAAAAAAAACAACAAAGGACAAAGTGATGTACTAGAAGCTTCAGGTTTGCAAAGTGAAGTCACTGGCAGGGTCCCTGGGCCATTTCCCTGGAATTTGCTTCTGTCTCGGTTACTGCTTTGTTTCTGTTACAGATACTTGTCAGCTCACAATGAGGTCACCTCCTAATAAACCCATTGTAAATTTGTAACTTGGAAATGCATGTAGTACACCTGAACTTAGCCCTGCTTACCTCAAACATGCTTAGAATGCTTATAATATCCAGGAGTTGGGCAAACTTACCTAACGTAAGTGTGTTATTTTACAAATGTGGGATGGCTTATGTAGTTATTGAACATTTGTATCCCAAAACAAACAAACAAACTAGCAACAGTCTCCTGGAGAGTTGCAGGTGTTTGCCCTGGTGAGCACATGGGACTTCTGGGAACTTCCCACCTCAGAATTGTCTGGAAAACACAGGCACTGTTCATCTCCATCACGCAAAGACTCACACATGATGTGAGGTGGAGTTACCTTGGAACATGGCAGGGGAAATCGGACGACTGAACCCCAGGGCCTCCTCTCCTTGAAAGGTCTCACAGAAGTCCCTCAGCATGGCTGTTCCTAGGCCTTGGCGACGGTGAATCCTCCTGACAAACACAGTGTCGAAGACAGGCAACAGATAGCACGCACTAGTGCCATCGCCACACAGACTTCCTGAAGGGAAAGCAAGACACAGGCTGACTGTTGTGGTGAAAGCTGACCCACCAGGACCCGTGGGGGTCCCTGCATAGCCAGGGTCATTGGTCCTACATGGAAGCTGTCATGGCTTATGTTAGCGGCCCCAAGCCTAATGCAATTATGGACTCGACCTAATCTAGTGTTTGTGACTGGTTCATTGTCTAGCGCTCGGATTGGTGGTGTGAGTACTACACCTGCCTAGGAGTGGAGCCAGGACACAGTGTAATGGTGGAAAGAAGGTGAGTCTCTCTCTCTTGCTGGTTCATGCCTTGCTGTTTACAGCAGCCATGAATGGCTGCCCCACGACACCACACTGCCTTGGAGCCAACTGAGTATGGACTGAAACCTCCAAGAACTGTAAAAAATAAACCTTTTCTTCCCTAACTTTGGATGTCAGATATTTTGTCTCAACAATGAGTAAAAAGTTACTAAGACAGAAGCAGAGTTAGCTTTATAAGGTAAATAATTGATGCTAAAATAGCAGATTATTACAAGCCACCACTTCTCTAGTTGACTAATCTGTTTTCTTGTAAGACTCATGCTATTAATTGTACAAAAGCAGCCACTGGACTCCTGGATCACTCCATTGGAATGGAAAGGAAACCTAGAAAACCGAACAGAGCAGTATAACTCACTCATTCAACCTCAAGATTTCCCCTTTCACTGAGATTTTTGGAGCAATGAAGATTATCTTGGAATCATCAGATTTCTCCCTGCAAAAGTAAATCCTGAAGCCAGATGGGCTTGGAAACCAACCCGTCTCATTCTCAGGATACGGATTTATTTCAGTAAATCCAACCTGGGTGCCCAGTTAGAGCAAAAATCATCTGCCCCAAACATACACAGCATCAGGCCCTGCTTCCCAGGAAACAATGACAACCTTGCTGCAGCAAGAGAAGCTCCAGTTGTCTTCCTCTCCACTTTTCCACCCTGAATTTAACTTTAGTGCAACCATCATCAACACTAGCATGGCTGCCATTTCTCCAATGAGAACTTGACCTTGACTCCAGTCACCTGTCGTCATTCCAATTAGAAAAGCAATTCTAGACCCAGAAATGGCCCCTGCAAGATTCAGAGAGTGGAAAAAAAAAAAAAAAAAAAAAAAAACCGCTTCCAGTTTTACTCCAAAAGATACACACTGCTATGGTGAACTATTTGTATAAATGCCCAGAGTTATTTCCCTTCCCATATCCACACCATTCTACATGAGATTTTGAACCTCATCCCATCAGAAAATGGAGTGTACTTCTGTCTTAGTTACTTTTTACTCGTCGCTGAGACAAAATACCTGATGCCAAAAGTTGGGAAAGGAAAGCTTTATTTCTTACAGTTTTTATAGATTTCAGTCCCTACTCAGTTGGCTCCAAGGCAGGGCGGCATGGCGGGGCCACAGTTCATGGCAGCTGCAAACAGCAAGGCAGAAACTGGCAAGAGAGCAAAACATACCTTCTTCCTGCCATTATATCGTATGCTGGCTCCACCCCTTTGTGGGTGGAGCACTGACACCATCAATCCAAGCACTAGACAATGAACCAATCACAAATGCATAATGCAAATGTATGGGGCCTGGAGGCCACCAACATAAACCATGACAACCTCCCTTCACTCTAGTCTGGCCTGCAATTCATTCTGAGTGACAGAATGAGGCAGAGTAACAGCTCACCAATGCTGAGCCTGGGCTTTATGGGTCCACTGTGCCTCTGTTCTCTCGGAGGTCCCCATCAACCACCACAGAAATCTAGACCAGCCCATGAAGGAAACATGGTTTAGGAAACCTTATGTACCAGACAACTGATAGCCTGTTTTAAGCAATGGACCTGGAAGTTAGGTCACTGTGGTCACAGAGGCAACATTAGAAAACCATCTTGCTGAACGCAGCCACGTGCCAATCTAAACATTTGTTAGTTAAATAAGGAGTTGTTATCTTATGCTAAAAATGAGTAAATAAACAATGTCCAACAAGGAAACTCAATTCACTTGAGGCAGAAATTGTAACATATTGGGGATTTCAGCCTCAACACACTTGATAGTATTGATTTGATTAAAATTTCCATAACTTTAATTTGTAGATAAGAACAGTGTTCCCCCAATGTGAAGTCTTCCAAAGTTAAGAATGTTTAAATTTAAATTAAGATGCGATTCCATTCAACATAACATTAAAAAAACAAGTAAATATTCAGGAATATATTTAACAAAAGAAATGCAAGCCTTGAACATTGAAAACTACAAATTATTTAAAGAAAGTAAAGCTTTAAGTAAATGCAGAGAAATTCCATGTTCATCAGTTGAGTAATTCAAAACTGTTGACAATTCTTCACAAGTTGATCTTTAAGTTTAATGCCAGCTCTATCAAAGCCCCAGCAGGCTTTCTGGTTGAAACGTAGGAGTTGATACTAAAATTTACATGAAATGTAGTTTCTCAAATAATCAAAATAGTTTGGAAAATGAAGAGCACAGTTGGATGTCTCATGCTACTTAATTTCAAAACTTTGTCAAGTATTGAACTGAATGTCAAGTGTGATATTGGTACCTAGACAGACACATAGACCAATGGCACAGAATTCAGAGTCTAGAAATAAACTCTTACACTTAGATTTTCAACAAAGGTGCCAAGGCATTTCAGTGGGAAAAGGATAATCTTTTCCATAAGTGGTGCTGAAATAATTGAACGTCCACATGTCAAATAATGAATCTAGATGCAGACTTTACACTCTCCACAATAATAATCATCATGAAATAGGTCATAGATCTAAATTTAAATGCAAAACCGTAAAACTCCCAGAAGATAACATAGGAAAAAATCTAAATGACCTTGAGTGTAGCAACAACTTTTTAAATAAAACACAAGAGGCATGGTCCATGAAAGAAAAAATTAGTAAGTTGGAATTGATTAAAATATAAACTTTCTGCTCTGTGAAAACTGCCATCCAAAGAATAAGAAAACCAACCACAGACTAGGAAAAAATATCTGCAAAAGACATATTTTATTAAATTTTTTAAAAAAAACTGTTACCCAAAATATATAAAGAACTCTTAAAACTCAATGAGAAAACCAAGAACCTGATCATAAATGGGCAAAAAAAGATGAACAGATGCCTCACCAAGGAAGAGATACAGATAACAAATAAGCATATAAAATGATCACTAGGCAACTGTGAATTAAAATAGTGAGAGACTACTACATACTTATTACAATAGCCAAAATTCAAAGCATGGTCAAACAAAAGCTGGGGAAGACACGGAGCAACCGGAATCTTATGCACTGCTAACAGAAACACAAAATGGTGCAGCCACTTTGCAAAACAGCACAGCAGTCTCTTCACAGAACTAAATATATTTTCGCCATATGATCCACCAATCACATTCCTTAGTATTTACCCAAAAGAGTTGATAATTTATGTTCACACAAAAACCTGCACACAAATGTTGAGAGCAGATTTATTTACAATTGCCAAAATGTTTTAAGTAACCATGATGCCCCTCAACAGGTGAATCAATGAACGAATTGTGGTCTACCCAAGCAATGGAATATTATTCAGCATTTTTAAAAATGAGCTATTAAGCCATGAAAAGAAATAGAGAAACTTTAAGGGCATAATCCTGAGCAAAAGAAGCCAATCTGAACAGGCAACGTTTCAGAGCCCCAAAATTCCAACATTCCATCAACTCTATGACATTCAGGAAAAGGCAAAACAAGCCTGCAATTTATAAAAAATAGTTATGTGGGTGAAAGTGGGGGAGAGCTAGGTGGCACACAGAGGAATTTTAGGGCGGTGAAAATACTCAGTATGATAGTACAATGGTGCTTACATGTCACTAGACATTTGTCAACGCCACAGAATACCCAACACTCAGAGTAAACCTAATGTAACCTGGATTTTAGCTAATAACAATGTAATTGTATAGGCTGAATTATGTCTCCCCTCGACTTATGTGTGGAAGTTCAAACCCCCGGGACTTCAGAATATGTCTCCAGACAAAACGCTTCACCTAATGAAACCATCAGGGCGGGCCCTGATCCAGGGTGACCAGTGTCCTTAGAAGAAGAGCAAATTTAAACACAGAAAGACATTCTGGGTGTACATAGGAAGAGCACAATAAAGTGGCCCTCTGCAAACCAAGGAAAGGGGCTTTGCAGAAGTCAACCTTAATCATTGATTTCCAGCTTCTAGAACTAAGAGAAAATCAAGTTCTGTTGTTTAAACCACCTGGGCTATGGTACTTTATCATGAGATTCCTAACTAATATGCATATCAATGTTGGTTCATAGTGCAAATTCACCACAATGAATGCAGTAAGAATAGAGGAAACAGAACATATGTCACTTTGTACCTCATCCTTAATTTCTAGAACTGCTCTAAGAATGATGTCAATTATTTCTTAAAAATGTACCACAGGTTGAGGGTACTGATTATTTCCCAGTACATACAGGACTCTGGGTTGGATGCCCAGGACAAAAACAAAAGAAAAGAAACTTGCAGGAAAAAGTGAGAGAATAGGGGGAAGAGAAGAAGGAAGGATGTGAGGTAAGGGGAGGAGGCAGAGAAGGCTGAAGTCCACTGTATGCCTGTATGAAAACACCAAAACCAAACTCTTTCTACTGGGTAATATGCGTGAAGAAAACACACAGAGAAAAACCAAAGCAAAAACAAAAAATGCATTAGGTGGTTTTAAAATCAAGTTGAGTGTCCCTCAGACAAAGGAGTTTCATCTAGAACATATAAAGAACTGCAAAAGGGGCTGAGGATTTAGCTCAGTGGCATAAGCTCCTGCCTGGCAAGCACAAGGTTGTGAGTTTGATCCCCAGTAAAAACAAAAATGAACTGCAAAAAATCAGTACCCCAAATTCAAAAATCCAACCCAAATATGAGAATCTGAGATGCATATACACTTTTCAGATGAAGAAATACAAATGGCAAATACATATATGAAAAAAACACTCAACATCACTAAATGCAAATTAAAACAACACTGAG